CCCCCAAACTAGATGAGTGGTTGCAACAGATCCTGGGAACAACATCGGACATCTCAGTCCAGAAATGTGCAGTGCTGGGAACAGCAAGGATACTGCGCAGAACCCTCAAGCTTCCTGGCCTCTGGTAGAGGACCCGAGCTGAATGAGGGATGGACACCACCCGAGGGGGGTGAGACGAGGATATTTTATATATATATCGTTCTGGCTCCTGAAGAGCCATGTTACATGTGTTTCCTATTTTCTATAACTACAGAGCTGCTTTATTTTGTAAGGTTAATTTGTTATTGTGAAGGGCACACCGGACGTTGTGGAGTGAGACACTTCCGGTTTAACATTGCACGGGGAACCTCCGAACGATGGACTGCATCTTCGTGTCGTAGGCCAAGCACAGCCTGTATGTAAATATTTTATGTAAATGTATGCCATATTATTAATTCGTGCGGTGTGTTCACTGTGGATTTATATTTGTGGGGTGTTTCTATTGGTTAGTTCGCAGTTATGCACAGCGATTAGCACATTAGCGTATTACCTCGTTAGCGTTAGCTACACTAGCGTAGCCGCGCGTTCGTTACGTGTCGGACCAGTGGGGCACATTGTTTTGCCATGTTTCATTTTCTAACAACATCTAAAGTGTTTTATGTGTTGTGTCTGTTCCAGTTTTACACCTTCTTGACTCGCTGGTGAATAAACCGCAAGAAATATCAACGGTGTGGTCATTGAAGGAGTTATCTGTCTGTCTAGCCGCATCGGGGACGCGGCGAGAGCGGAACAGTAAAAAGGCTCGCTAAACAGCAGTGGTGTCAAGTACAACAATGCACTCCACAGAGGACGACAAGCTGGAGGTACGCTCCATCTGCTCCAACTCATCAACCAGATCCAGCAGCTTACTCGTAAAGGCAGCAGTTGAAGCTCGTGCAAAGGCTGAAGCTGCACGCGCTAGAGCAGAGTTTGCTCGGAAAGAAATTGAAATTAGGATCAAACAAGCAGAACTCACTGCCACACTTGATGCTCTCAAAGAGGAAAGGGAGGTAGAAGCTGCTCTTGCTGAAGCAAACGTGTTTGAAGCAGCACTAGCCCAAGAGGAGGAAAAAGGTGAAACATCTCCATGGAAAGCAGAAAAACTACATGAGGAAGTAAAACGATACAGTAAAGACGACATTCCAGCCACACTCACCCCCCGTAACCAATTCCAATCATCTGCTCATCCAAGTGGTTATGGGCTACAAGCTTACCCGAAGTCATCATCAGACCATCATGGTGAGGACCTACCAGGTGACAGACGCTACACACCCAATAAGCAGTCTCCATGTGCCATCAGCCCAGCCCCACATCCATCTCCATCTACTGACAACGACCTTGCCAGTCTTGTTAAATATCTAGCGAAAAGGAGTTTAGTAACAGATGGTTTAACAAAGTTCACAGACAGAGCTGAAGACTACTGGGCTTGGAAGGTGTCCTTTAACAATGCCATAGAAGGGCTAAGCCTTAGACGTAGCGAAGAATTAGACCTGCTCGCCCGATGGCTGGGTGAAGAGTGTTCCAAACATGCCAAACGCATACGCTCCATCCACCTCAACAATCCAGCAGAGGGCCTCAGCAGAATATGGGAATGGCTTGGACAGATTAGAACACTTTCACAAGGTTTCCACAAAAGAGCCTCAAAAACTCAGAGAATTAGGTGACCTTCTATCCGAAATAGACGCAGCCAAATCTGCTGGGTATCTACCCGGTCTAGGATATCTGGATACTTCACGTGGTGTTGCTCCTGTTGTTGACAAACTGCCAATTTGTCTTCAAGACAAGTGGATGTCAGAAGGGACAAGGTACAAAAAGAGACACAATGTGAGTTTTCCTCCATTTTCATGTTTCTGCCGTTTCATACAAGATGAAGCCGACATGAGAAACGATCGCAGCTTCAAGTCAATCCCAAAAGCTACTACATCAACCCCACCAATTCACGACGACAACTACTCAATGTTTGGCAAATCCAGAGGTCCTGTCACCGTCCACAAAACAGAAGTAGAAACAAACCACTTAAAGTCCAGTGAGTTTGAGCGCAAAGAGTGCCCCATCCATCAGAAGCTGCACTCCCTGAAGATGTGTAGGGGTTTTAGAGAAAATACTTTAGACCAGGGGTCCCCAACCGCCAGAATCAGTTATTTAGCACCATGCTCTCCACAAACATGCGGTGTCATAAACCGGAGAGGGGGCACCCATCATCCGGGCGCACCCCAGCCCAGTGTCGAACGGCGTTCCGCGCGGCCGGGGGGAAGGCTCCCCCCGCCCGCTAACCTTGACCAACCGGGGGGCGGCGGCGCTACAGTATCGTTGCGTCGAGGCGGGATTCTGATTTAGAGGCGTTCAGTCATAATCCCGCAGATGGTAGCCTCGCACCATTGGCTCCTCAGCCAAGCACATACACCAAATGTCTGAACCTGCGGTTCCTC